TACCCAATTTACCCCCCCGCCCCCCCGGTCCTTCTCCCCCCGCCACTCCCATCTCTGAGGGCAAGCCCCCACTGCCCCAGTGGCTATGTCCATTGGCCATGCTAATATGCATGCATACAAGTCCTTTGGTGATCACTAAACCCCACTCCCCTTCCCTGTCTTCTCCCTGAGGTTGGACAGTCTGCTCAGTGTCACCTTGTTTTTGGATCCATTTTTGTTCATTGGTTTTTGCTGATCATTATATCCCACATATGAGTGAGATCATGTGGTATTTTTCTTTCATTGCCTGGCTTATTTTGCTTAGCATAATGCTCTTCAATTCCATCCATGCAGTTGCAAATGGTAAAAGTTCCTTTTTTATAGCAGCATAGTATTCCGTTGTGTAGATGTACCACAATTTTTTAATCTACTCATCTGCTGATGTGCACTTAGGCTGTTTCCAAATCTCAACTATTGCAAATTGTGCTGCTATGAACATAGGGGTGCATATATCCTTTCTGATTGTATTTCTAGTTTCTTGGGATATATTCCTAGAAGTGGGATCACTGGGTTAAATGGGAGTTCCATTTTTTAACTTTTTGAGGAAACTCCATACTGTTCTCCACAGTGGCTGGACCAGTCTGCATTCCCACCAGCAGTGCATGAGGGTTCCTTTTGCTCCACAGCCTCGCCAGCACTTGTTGTTTGTTGTTGATGATTGCCATTCTGACAGGTGTGAGATGGTACCTCACTGTTGTTTTGATTTACTTCTCTCAGATGATTGGAATTACTGTTTTTAAGCAAGAACATATATGACTTGTCATCAGTCCTTCTCACTCTGAGTTTTTCAAGTCTCTGACCTGATTTTCTCCTTCTCTAAGCAGGAATGGCATCAGGTGACTCAGCGGGCCTCTCCATGAACACACTGTTCAAGAGATAGAGCTTGCCACCTGCCTGACCTTTCCTTAGAGCTTGAGTTGGTGGGAAGAAAAGCTCTAGGCTGGTGAGAGGCAGGAGTTCTCACCGCAGGACACAGACGGGTCATTTCAGGACAAGCCCTTGCCCGGTGCTTTGTGTTTATATACAAGATGATGCCCTTTGGAACCACGTATGACCCTCCCAGCCATAAAACCTGAGGACTGGGAATTCAGTTGATCCTTTTCCTTGGATCTCTAAGTGACATTTAATTGGACTCATTTTGGCATTGCTGGTCTGGAGTTACATGCTGTTTTTATAAGACAACCTTGAATACAGATTTGGACAATAATTAGAAAAAATGTTTTTAGCTTTAAGTATATAAATTTCTTCACTGTGGAAAACCACTTATATATGTAGGGTAGTAATAAAATCTAGGTTTTAAGTATTTCTCTACATTGTCTTCCAAATAAAAGAAAACTTAATACTTTGAAAATACTTTATTATTAGAAAAGCAATGTGGATTGATTTTCAAAAAAGACAGTTTAATTTATGAGAGCAATATGTAATTTCTTAAGCTAGGTTAATAAAATAGTGCTACATAAAAGAGCTCAATATCATTATAGTACAGAAACAAGCGATTTTAATGAGTCTAACAGTTGAGTGAAAATGAAACTTTTTTAAACCTTGAGGTGACTTTAAAAATATTTGTGTTCTTGGGTGAGATTTTTATTCTTAACTCTTTATGAGAAAAAATAGTTTGTTGAACACAAATAAAAATCAGCCTTATTGAACTTTAGATTTATTATATAAATAAAAAACTTGCCTGTAATTTAAGGCATTTATCAATACATTTGACTTCTGAACATTATAATTACAAGAGAATTTCCAGTAATATAATTGGCTTCACCTTTGCACTTTCATTTTTCAATGCCCATCAATAAGTTTTCTTATTGATGTGTTCCATTTTTTAGGTGGTTATGCTGATTATGCTTCCTTAATATTAGAGAACTCTGGCCTTATTTATTTCAGATGTTAATAATCTTTTTCATATACATTGTTTTGATATTTCATTAGAACTTTCCTGGTAGTGACTTTTGTTACTAAGTATTCTCTCATTTGAATAATTAATTATCATTAAGCAATTTCCAACACAGTGTTACAAATGATGGGTGTAGAACTGTGCACTGAAACCTATATAATTTTGTTGACCCAATAAAGTCACTACAAAGGAAAAAAATAAATAAAATTTTAGAATTAAAAAATATCTAGTGTAAATTTTGCCCTGAAAAAAAGTTCTCTCCGACTTTAATAATTTATTAGATTATTGACTTAATTTCAGTTTGAAGCTATTGTAGATTTATGTGTAGTTAATCTCCTTTTGAGTACTTAAGGCCTTTTAAATTATTTTATTAAGTGCTCACATATAAGAAATATTGCAATGCAACCCTAAAACTTCAGTATAATTGAGAGTCAGCTATACTTGCTTAATCCCAGGTGATTCAGATGTAATACCAGCAGCATGAGGAGGTCTTAGTTTGTTGACAAGCATCTAGGAGCAAAATCAGTTTCATGCTAGGCCCTCCAGCTGCCCCATGTTCTATGTTGTACTAGTAGTGTATTAAATAATATATTAAAGATGAATAGATTTTCCTGCCCTGCTGATGATCTCAAAGGTTAGAGCTTCACCAGGAATTATCTCTACATTCTGGTTAATAATAATCCTGACAGGGATTGAGTATAGATATTAATCAGTTGCTGGGACTTCAGTCCCACCTCCAGTTCACATAGTAACAGGTATTCTTTCTGTAGCTACAGCACTATTTTTAGAAATAGTTCCCAGCTGGCCTGACTCAGTGTTCAGCATTGAGCTATAAACCAGGAGGTCATGGTTTGATTCCCAGTCAAAGGACATGCCCAGGTTGCCGGCTCCAACCCAGTGTGGGGCGTGCAGAAGACAGCTGATCAGTGATTCTCATCATTGATGTCTGTCTCTCTCCCTTCTTTTCTGAAATAAATAAAAAAATATATATATATATAAAAATAGTCCCCAATATTCAGATATTGATGATAACTATTAAAATTTTGACTGTAATATGCTTTCTAGTAGTTGAAAACAAATGTTAAATATAGAAAACCATATAACCAGTTTAGCGAAACAAAAAGTAAACTAGCAAAGAGGGCGTCTTTTAAAATAGCAGTTTATAAGTGCGTGTGCTAGTATATTTACACTTGCCAATATATACATGCAAGTAAAATAGCAAAAAAAGTATTTTTAAAACTTTTAAAAGTGAGAATTCTTTAATAGGTGGAAATCTTATCCAAATAGAGGGCCATTTGCTTTTTCTTCCCTGTTTGTCTCAAAATACCAGGTCTCTGTCTTTTAAATTTAGATTCAAAAAAATAATTGCCTTCCCAAATTGGGATTTTTACAGCTGCACTTTTAAAGTTATATATTTAAAACAGGAATACATGTTTATAAGAATTATCAATGTCAGATTTTGAATAAATGCACATTGCACCAGTAGGCTATTTTTGAGAACACATGCTGATTGATTTACAAACAAGATTATTTTTTTCCAGAATTATGAAAAGATAGGAGAGGGAAGGGAAATATTTTAATTTTGAAAGTACTGCTTGTATTTTGTTTATATTTTGTATTCTTATGTTTCCTTGTTTATTCAGAGAAATTTAATGTCAAAGTTTTAAATAAATCAGCATATACAGGTAGATGCAGTTAGTAAATTTTATTTGGTGTGAAGTACTATAGCTAGGAGGCTCTACATTTTTAGTACCAAAATTAAATTTGTATTGGAAATGCATGGAATTCCTATTTAGTATGGAAAGTGAAGATGAGAGAACCTACTTCTAGTCTTTACCTAACTGCTTATTGTCATGTCCCATGGAATACATCTCTTGTATCTCTCTGTGCCTCTGGTTTCTCTTCTGTAAAATGGGCTCAAGAACTTGATTGAAGCCTTCATCCCTTTCAAGGACATTGAGGACAGATACCTTGAAGTCTTTGGAAGACAAAATGCCACCTTAGGTATTTTTTGATACTAACTTGCCTTGTAAGTATGTGCTATGTATTATACACAGTGGCACGGTGTGACATTTTGAATATTTTTATGAGAAAAGTTGTTTGTATGCCTTAATGTTAAGCCATAACTTTGTTTTTATTGTTTTATAATTTCTGAACTTCTGTCTCTGTAGTGCAGTGAGAACTCTCTCTGGCCATCTCCATGCCCTATACTGTTAGTGGTTAGGACATGGGGATACTGATTTTTTTGTGTCAGTGTTTTAGGATTGTGCACAGAAGTTGTTAGGAATATACCCTAGGTCTTCCATGTACAGAGCACGGCCTCGTCAGCTTAGAATAGACAAAGGGCCCTCTATTTCTTCAGTTTTAGTTTTTCTTTAACATGTTTATATTGTCCTGCATTCTGACTCATGGTTTGGAAAGTCAGGTAGAACTTTTTGATTTTACCCTTCAGAAAGTGGTGAATGGGGAGAATTCCAGTCAAGGGTTTTGGAGACATGGATAGTAGACTGTGCTGCTCGTACAGTAGTTCTCGCTTTTACCTGTTCTGAACTATGTTCTCCTTCTAACGAATGAGGATGCGATGGTGCAAGGATCCCAGGAGGGGTGTTCTTGCATTGAATGCCTTGATTTCATACAATTCTGAAATGGTCATTAAAGCATATATGAAGCTATCTCTAATTAGTCACATGAAAACTGTTTATAGTCCATTATGATTTAAAGTGTAGTTCCTTATGATTTTCTTTTGCACGTGGTTAATTTTCATTGCCCAAGAACTTAATTTCATAATTTCCAGCATCATCAGTGAATGCTTGTGTTTTGAGATCCTGACTCCTTTTGAGAGTTATTAAGTACTATTTTATTAAAAATAAGAATTCCTATGTTCTGTTTTATTTTTCTGTGGTAAAAATCGTTCTTGCGAAGTATAACAAAGATAATAACTTTCATGTTGGGTTAGTATTTGTGAAGTTTGCTTAGGAATTTTTGATCTTTTTGTGGTAGTGGTTTTCTCAGGCTTCCACAGTTGCTTTATGTTATTATGACATCTTCTCTCATTCTTTTCCAGAGAATTCGGTCAACAGTGGATGAAAAAGAACAAAAGCAACTTCTTATGGATTTGGATGTAGTAATGCGGAGTAGTGACTGCCCATACATTGTTCAGTTTTATGGTGCACTCTTCAGAGAGGTAGGAATGAACTATTTGCGTTTGGAGCTGGCGAATGAGTATCTAATGGGGATAAATAAGAGTGTGGCAGGCTTAAATATTAATATACAATTAAATGCCATACATTAGTAATAAGTTAATTTCTCAGTAGTTTAGTATATAGCCTTGATAATCTATACATAAATTTCTACCACTTATTTTCCCTTTTGTTAAGGGGTGAATCTTACACTTTAAAAAAAAATAGCTGTCATTTATGAATTCCCTGTTTCCTTGCTTTATTTATAAATACTTTCTCTTCTTTAAGGGGACCTAACCCACAACATAGGCGCATTGGGACGTTGCTCTAACCAACTGAGCTACCTGACCAGGGCTTGATGTTTCTTTCTTTCTTTGGTTTCCATGGCCGAACAAAATGCTTAAAAAAGAATACTGCTAAGAGAAATGCCAGAGATTTTACTGCCTTTGTTTTCTTCTAGGAGTTTTATGGTTTTGAGTCTTATATTTAAGTCTTTAATCTACTTTGAGTTTATTTTTATATCTGGTAAAGAAGTGATATAGTTTTATTTTTTCGCATGCACCTGTTCAGTTTTTCCAACATCATTTATTGTCTAGACTGTCTTTACATCATTGTATGTTCTTGTCTCCTTTGTCAAATATTAATTGACCATATAGACATGGGTTTATTTCTGGCTTCTATTCTGTTCCATTGACTTATATGTCTGTTTTTATGCTAGTACCATGCTGTTTTGATTACTATAGCCTTGTAGTATTCTTTCATATAAGGCAGTGTGATACCTTCAACTTTGAACTCTTAAGCATTTTAAATGCTCATTAAAAAATACCATTATCATTTTGAAAATGTTCGGATGTTGCCAAAACCGGTTTGGCTCAATGGATAGAGCGTCAGCTTGGGGACTGAAAGGTCCCGGGTTCGATTCCGGTCAAGGGCATGCACGTTGGTTGCGAGCATATCCCCAGTAGGGGGTGTGCAAGAGGCAGCTAATCGATGACTCTCTCTCATCGATGTTTCTAACTCTTATCTTTCTCCCTTCTCTCTGTACAAAATCAATAAAAATATATTTAAAAAAAAGAAAGTGTTCGGATGTGCTGGAACTGGATCACAAAGAGTATAGCCTTGGGCCGAAACTGGTTTGGCTCAGTGGATGGAGTGTCAGTCTGTGGACTGAAGGGTCCTAGGTTCGAATTCGGTCAAAGGCATGTACATTGGTTGCAGGCACATCCCCAGTAGGGGGTGTGCAGGAGGCAGCTGGTCGATGTATCACTCTCATCGATGTTTCTAGCTCTCTTTCCCTCACCCTTCCTTTCTGTGAAAAATCAATAAAATATATTTTCAAAAAAAAAAAAAAAAAAAAAGAGGATAGCCTTTGGTTTTTTATTGTAGTTATTGAAACTTACAATCAACTATGTTATAAAATAAGACTGAATGTATACTGGCTAGAAGTATGAAATCTTGTGATTGGAGAAGACCTTAGAGGTTAATCAATTCTCCACCCAACCCTAAAATTAATTTATTTATTCATTCATTCATTCATTCATTCATTCATTCATTTATGTGTGTGTGTTCTTAGTAGGTAACTCTCGTAATAGGTAACTAGTAACTGGAAGAATACTACTTCATGATAAAGCCTATTTCTTTGTTCAATTACTAATTAATCACTGTTAATTCTAGACTTGTAGTTTCTTTTTCCTCCTGTCCTTGTACTTTTTATGACTTTCGTATTTTTTCGTATTTTTTTTTACCTAATATAATACACTGAATTTCTTAGCTTACTTCACTATTTCACAATAGTATGACACTGTATCTGTATATAGTCATGTATTCGGGTACATAACTGTATCCTGGACGTAAGTATTACATCACGTTATTCTGTTAGTAAGGTCATGGGTCTGGAACTTCTTTAGGTTGCACAGGAATCTTGGTATATTCTCTCCCCTTTTTCACCAAGCCATAACTTTATTCTGCATAATCACTAAATCCTTTTTCAATATTACGCAAAAGAATTTTTATTTAGGATTGGACTAGATCTTCTCTTTTAACTAGATTCCATAGTCAGCTTTTCCAGTGCTGTGTTCACAAAAGCCTCCCACTGGCTCATCTTCACTGAAATTCACCTTTCTAGTGCTTGAACATGCCAACTTAGTGCTCCTGTTCTTTTATTTAAGCAACATTTAAACATCTAGCCCCAGGCTAAGTAGTGTTGAATTCTGATTTTATCAAAAGAAGGCAAAGTACTAGTAAGTGATGCCCACAATTTAATGGTATTCTTATGGTTTCTCATGAATAGCTGGGTAAAATTCAGTTTTACATCTCAGGAAGGTCAAAGGGAGTTGAGAAAAGCAGTTATAAGCACTAGCATCTATTGAATGCTCTATGATTTTCACATATATTATCGTCACAATGGTCTCAGGGAGTCTGGTGGTATTATGCCCTTTTTCCAGAGAGTAAACTGAGAATTGAGAACTAATTTGAAAAAAGTCACACAGTCACTACGTGCCAGAGTTGGGAATTCAGAGACAAAGTTCTCACTGTTCAGTCACTATATACCATAAGTGGTTCAGGGATGAAGAACATAGCTTAATTTAAAATATAACCTTTTTAAACATTATAATTTTTGACTATGATAAGATGAAATCTTAAGAACTATACAGTTAAGCTGTATATAGTCACAAAATGTTTAGAGTGAACTTAAACTTCTCCCCTAAATCATAGAATAGAAGAAATAATAGATACATTCTCAGTAATAAAAAATGAAGTTTTAGAAGCAGGAAGTTCATTTAAAGGTTGCTTAGACAGCCCTATCTGGTTTGATTCAGTGGATAGAGCATTGGCTGCAGACTGAAGGGTCCCGGTTTCAATTCCGGTCAAGGGCACATACCTCAGTTGCAGGCTCAGGCCCTGGTTGGGCCTGTGTGGGAGGCAGCCATCAGGTGTCTCTCACACCAATGTTTCTTTCTTTCTGTCCCTGCCCTTCCCTTCCACTCTCTCTAAACAAACAAGCAGACAATAAATAAATAAATGGGAAAATATCCCCTGGTAAGGATTAACAACAACAAAAAATTGAGTAGTCAAAGTTTGTTTTCTCAAGTTACAAAGGGTAAAAATGTTAAACAGATTTAATAAGGGTTTAGAGAAACACTTTTCTTTCAAGATTGATTACTTAAAAATAAAGATTTCTTTTGGCTACATGACCTTCAGTATAAGTAATAGATCCAAAATTCTGGGTTTATGATAGGAAAGAATGGAAGTGTTTGTGCAGTCAGGATGTTTTGCCCTACTGTGTGAGAGACACATGCTTTTAATACTGTCACTGTGGAAAAACCCTCCAGAATATTTCACATAATTTAGTGTCCATAAGACAATCAGGTTTGGGTCTGGTTCAGTCACCATCAATCAAGGGGCTTGTGAAAAGGTATTTTTCTTCTTACAGCTACTATGTAGAGATTAATCTTACTATTGGATAATTTTGAGCCTGTGTAAGTTCTATAGCTTTATTAGAGCAGTGAATAAATACTACTTATTACTGAAATTGGTAACTTATATGTTGCCATTGTTTCCAACCATCTATACTTCTTTCTAGGATGGGTCTAAACTCAAATAAAAAGCCCCAAGTTCAACTTGGATTCGATTAAGGAAGTTATTAAGATATCCAATTGAACAGGTTTCTAAGTTTGTTTTCAGGCTTTGTAAACTGCGGGAAAAAAGCTTGGTAGTATTGAAAAATTAAAGTAACTTTTAGCCTATAAATTACTTAAAGGCTTTTAATTGCCAGAATTTAATAGCAAGGAACTCCTTAGGTTGAGGTTGGAGAAATTCTAGTGTAGAAAATACTGTTCTGAGTAAGTTGTGATTGTAGAAGTTCATCAGATTATATAAAAGTGATATTAGCTGAATTTAGTCACCTTCTCTTTTCTACTCCTTCTCATGTTCTTCTTTCTCTTTCCTTCCCCCTTGCAAGTTATAAATACAACTTTATGGAGCTAATGTTGACACATGATAAATCACACATATTTAAAAGTATACAATTTGATATGTTTGGACAAATGTATGCACCTGTACAGTTATCACCATACTCAAGATAATGAACTTCATCACTCACAAGTTTCCTTGTGTCCCACAGGTAATACACACTTCCTTTCTGCTGTCAGCATCCTCAGCAACCGTAGGTCTGCTTTCTGCCACTATAGATAAATTTGCATTTTCTAGAATTTTGTGTAAATAGAATCAAACAGTATGTACTCTTTTTTAAAGAAGTTTTCTTATACTTGGCATAATTATTTTGCAATTCATGTTGTGGCATGTATAAATAGTTTGTTCCTTTTGTTTGTGGAGTGGTATTAGTTTTCCACAGTTTGTTTATTCATTAGGGTTGTTTCCAGTTTTTATCTATTAGAGTAAAACTGCTATATTTGTGTACAAGAATTTTAGTGGACGTATGATTTTATTTCCCTTGGGTAAAATACCTGGATGTGGGATAGATGGATCATGTGTTTCAGTTTTTTAAAAAACGGGCAAACTATTTTTAAAAGTGCAGTTGACTTCTGAACAACTTGAGGGTTGGGGTGCTTACCATTGAAAATCTGCATATAACTTTTAACTCCCCACAAACTTAACTAGAGTTTGTCCCTCAGTATCTGCAGAGGATGGTTCTAGGCACTTCACCAGTACCCAAATCCAGAGATGCTCAAGTGCCCTATGTAAAATAGCATAGAGCAATGCATGCAATTGGCACCTTGCATTCTCAGGTTCCCCACTGCAGATCCAGAATCACTGTTTTCCATCCACAGTTGGTTGACTAGGAGGATGTGAAACCAGGGATATGAAGGGGTGACTGTATATTGAAATAAATCTGCATTTAAGTGAACCTTTAAAGTTCAAACCCATGTTGTTCAAGGGTCAACTGTGGTTGCCTTTTCAGCTTCCAGTGATAGTGGATGACTTTATTTCTCCCACATCTTCTCAACAGTTGGGGGTCTGTCTTTTTAATTTTTAGCCACTCTAATAGATTTAGAGGGGAATCTCATTGCATTTTTAATTTTCATTTTTCTAATGACAAAATAGCTTTTCTTGTACTAACTTGCCAGCTGTCTTCTTCAATGCAGTTTCTATTCAAATATTTTTGTCATTTTCTTGTTTTGCTTATTTTCTTACTATTGAGTTTTGGGAGTTTTTTTGTTTTTTTTTAATGTTATTCTGGTGACAGGTATAGTAATATCAGATATATGATTGCAAATGTTTGTCCCCCCATGTCTGTGTTTTATTTGTTACACATTTTATGTGTGTGTGTGTGTGTGTGTGTGTGTGTGTGTGTGTTTTAATTTTTTATTGATTCAGAGAGGAATGGAGAGGGAGAGAGAGAAACATAAATGATGAGAGGAAATCATTAATTGACTGCCTCCTGCACACCCCCCTATTGGGGATCAAGCCCGAAACCCAGGTATGTACCCTTGACCAAAATTGAATTGAACATGGGATCCTTCATTTTGCAGGCTGACGCTTTATCCACTGAGCCAAACCAGCTAGGGCTTAAATATTTATTTTAGAAAGTGAAAGTTTTTAATGTCAGTGTAGGACAACTTGTCTGTCTTTTTCTTTTATGCATTATGCTTTTGGTATTGACATTTCATTGGCTGCCCTACTCTTCATAGAAGACTGGGAAATGTAGTTTTAACTGGGCACATTGTGTAGAACAAAGGGTGGCATGTTGGGTAGGCCATGTGCACTTATTGTCACAGGTCTTGTTGCTAGTATCTCATACTATTAAATCTTTCATTTTGGGCAGTCATGTGACTTGGAAGTGATATCTCACTTTTAAAATTACATTTACCTAATCGGTGGTGAAGTACAGAATTTTTTGTGTGTTCAGGTTTTCTTTTCTGTGATTTGCTTCTTCATAAACCTTTGCCATTATTCTATTAAGTTTTGTCTATTCATAATTAGTTTAGCATATGCTTTATTATCTAGGTTATCCTTTGTTTCTTTACATCCAAATATATGTTCTTATTTTATTTTTGAACTTTTGGTATGATATCCTTTATCACACAAAAATATTCATTATAGTGGAGTTAAAGTTGACAGATCTTACTCTTTGTGATTTATTCTTTTCACATATGTACGTGTATGAGAAGAAATTTTTACCCCACCCTGAAGTCTTAGACTTTCAAAACAAAAATATTTTAAAGTTTGCTTTTCAAAAGTTGCATTTGGGAGTTTTTGTTTGACTAACTTGAGGTAATGACCTAATTTAATGTTTTTGTGTATGGAAGGCTACTGGTCTCAGCAGCATTCCTGGAATTGTCCATCCTTTTGTCATTGCATGCTTTGCTAAATCTGTCATAAATCAAATTGCCTAGTTGCACGGGTTTTTAATGTGATTCACTGGCATGTTTACCCTGCCCCCATATTAATACCACCATCTTTTATTGTGAATGCTTTATATAAAGGTCTTTGTCTAGTAGAGAAGCCCCCTTTTTTAAAATTGTGTGAACTATGTATGGCTCCACTTTTCTACATAAGTTTTAGGATAAGCTTGTCCAGGTGCTTAATAATTTTGATTAGAATCTAACTAAATTCTTAGGTTATTTTGGGGGAATTGGCATCTTTATGGTTTTGAGTCTTCACATTTGTAAGCATGCTTTTCCTCTGTATTTAGTCTGATTGTTATGTCCTTTTAGTAACATTTCATACTTGTTTTCATAAACATTTTGCTTCTTTTATTAGATATATTCTTAGGTGCTTTAGAGATTTCCTTTTTACTGTTAGTGGTGTCTCTAAACATTTTTCTAAGTGGTTACTGCTGATACCATAAGTATCTGATAAGTATATTAGTTTTATCTCGAGTTTGTCTTTAGGAGCCCTTATCTTGATCTTAGTAGTTCAATTTTTCATTGTCCCTGCCTTTCTTTCAATAAATCCACATTCAGTAATTTCTGCTTTTGTATTTTGGTCACATGCCCATTTCGTCTTTCATGTGAACAGGAGAGCTATGCTGCCGTCCCTGGTTTTTGAGGCAGTTCAGGCCATTCCTTTTTATTGGTTTTTTAAACGTTGCCTATTCTCAGTGATGGCCAAAAGGAACTACCAGAAGAAATAAATTTACATTAGGTTATGTGCCTTAGAAACTATAGACATCTTCCTCTGTAATGCTAATTGCTCCTTTTGCCTGCTCTTCTCATCCTTAGTCCTTAATTTATTTCTTACCTTCACTTCTCCGGTTCCCATATTTTTCTTTCTCTTTTGATTGCCTTTCTATTTTTCCACTTGTTCCTGTCCTCCCTTTATTTTCTTAGCTATAGTTTTTACCACATGCCAGCCACTTTATTTTGTGTTTTGCATATGTTAGCTCATTTGATCTTTATCACAGCTCATTGAGGTTGGTGGAGAGATCCCATTTCCTAGATGAGAAATCCAGGAGCCCAATCCTATCTAATAAAGAGGGAATATGCTAATTGACAGTCACACCCTCACAAAGATGGTGGTGCCCACAGCCAACAAGGGGGGAATATGCTAATTGAATGCCATGTCCTCAAAAATGGCAGCACCCACAGCCACAAGATGGCAGCGCCCAGTCCCCTCAGCCCCGCTGGGGTGGCAGGGGCGCTGCACAGTCAGGCCCACCCCAGGTGGGTCCAGCCACTCCATGCACCTGCCTCCAAAGTCCCCCAGTTCCCTCAGCCCCCCAGCTGCCCAGGGCTGGCTCGAGGCACAAGGAAGCCTCAGATGGCGGCTGCCCAGGGCCACCCAAGGCTCAGGTAACCATGGCCAGCTGAGGCTTACACTGCTGGCAGTGGCAGCAACAGAGGTGTGATGGAGGCATCACCTTCCCCTGATTACTGGGTCACCTCCTGCCCCTGAGGCTATGAGAGGGGGCAGGCTGGGCTGAGGGAAACCCTCTCCTATGTATGAATTTTCATGCACTAGGCTCCTAGTTTTATATAAGCGGAAAGTAGGAGAGTCTGGATACTAAGTCAGGCCTGCAGACTCTAATATCAGTGGTCTTTCTGCTTTACTACACTACTGACATTCAATTATTTCCTTACTGTTTTTCTAAGAAGATGAGTTAAGTAATAAAAATTCTAATAAACCTATTGAGATAATGTCTTTAGACTAAATTAATTCAAGTACATGTTCTGAGTGAAGGGTGTTACTGAATTTTTTGTGAGAGTCATTCTGTAAAAGCACTCAAAATAAAAAGAGAGAGAAGAGACTTAAAAGAAATAGAAGTAAAAGTTCCCGTAAGTATTCTGTGAAGCCCTGGGCTGCATGCGTGCTCCAGCAGGTGCTCCTGTTGTGAGAGTACTGTGCTCACTCAGTTCATCGAAGCGTAGGTTGGTGTCCCTGCATTGTAGGTGTTGATAGGAGAAAGGAGATAAGTACACTGGATTCTGTTTATGGCTGTATCACTAATAGCAGTGTTCTGAGCAAACCATTGTACTTTTAGAGGCATTCATCTAATCAGTATAGGTCAGATATGAGGGGAAGATTAGTGGTGGGAAATCTCAGAGGGTACAATCGGATCCAAAGATTAGTGACAACATAAAAAATCATTTTTAGGTATTTTTTTTATATCACCCTGATAGTTGTTTTCACTCTTACAAGGTACTTTGTAGTACTTGTTCATGTGTACAAATACTTTTATCTATATATATAAAAGCCTAAGCAACTGTCCAACTGGTAGGGGCAGTTGCTCAATGCAGGAGTAGAAACTAAAGGTATTGATACATGGAATAGACTGACGAATTTCAGAGGGAAGGGAAGAGAGGAGAGGTCGGAGGGCAGGAAGAGATTAACCAAAAGATCTTATATGCATCATAGAGGCCCAGCACACAGCCTGGCCTGTGCCCTCCCGTAATTCGGGATCCCTCAGGGGATGTCAGAGAGCCCATTTCATCCCGATCCCCGCAGGCCAGGCCGAGGGACCCCACCGTTGCATTGATCTGTGCGCCGGGCCTCTAGTAGTGTTATAATCATGGTATTACTTAGGGTCTACATTTTGCTCATGTATACTTTCATGAACTGTGTCATTTTTAAATAATTGAATTTTAGATAATTCCTTTAAAGATGTACCATTTCCTCTTGTGGGATAGTTTAGTGGTTTCTAGTTTGTTTTTGTTTTTGTAATTTCTGGACTGTTTCTTTAAGTTAGATTCCCAGTCATGATTCTGTCAAAGGATATAAACACATATCTCTTGTTTTATTATCCAGTTGCCTTCATACTGTTTTTAAACACTCTATAATGCTGCCATCAGTTTTTGAATGATACAGTTTAATTATAGCCAGCATTCATTCAAGGAATGTTAACATTGAACCCCTGTCCTGGTGGAGTGTATGAAATGTAAATGAAAAACAACAAAATAAATAAGTTATATTTTATATTAAAAGATGATACGAGTCATTCAGAGAACAGAAAGGCAAGGGGATGCTGAGAGCGGGATGACTTTTGAGGCATTGGGTTTGCTTTATGAATTTTCTTTTTTATTTTATTTACTTATTAAGAAGTTTTTACATTATATCAAGATAACTGTAATCTATTTTTTTTGTTAGTGAGAATGAAGTTTTCCATGTTATCTATTTGTATATTTAATTATGGCAATACTTGAAATTCTTATAAAGCTCAAAAGTTTTCTATGTAAGACTGTTCCTGCCCTTACAATTAAGAGTGGGGAAAATTGGACAAGTCAATTTGTGTTTAAGCATGAGGAGAATGTTCTGTCCAGAGCTTTAATAAGAAACCAAAATTTTCTACAAGATATTTTTTTTTTAATGAAGATTGCTTTTTTGTTAATTGTATTTCTGTTTTAAGCGAAGGAAAAATGGCACGTAATATAATGTGTAAGAGTAACATATTTGTTATTTTGTAAGAGTAACATATTTGTTATTTTGTAGGGTGACTGTTGGATCTGTATGGAACTCATGTCTACCTCGTTTGATAAGTTTTACAAATATGTATATAGTGTATTAGATGATGTTATTCCAGAAGAAATTTTAGGCAAAATCACTTTAGCAGTAAGTACCTGGTTTTCAAATTATTCTTTCTCTATGTGCTCATGTGAAGACACTGCTGGCATTTGCACATGCCCAGTTGTCCTTCACAGAATGTTACTGACTTTCCCGGAGGATCACTGGTAAAGGGACAGAGACTGACCTGCTTCTATTGGGTAATTGACACAATCATAAAAAACTATTTTCAAAATGTGGTCTGAAAGTAGTACAAAATCACAATCAACCACAGTAGGTTGTTCTGTCAGTGAGATTAGAACAAGCAATTTTCTGTTCCATTTTCCACTGTTGGTTTAACTATTTTTAAATATATTGTATTATCATGCTTATGCCTAAAATAATCAGAATCACAGCGGTCTCCTTGAAGTCTCTTAATTAAAACTCTTTGTGGTTTAAGAGTTGGGCTATCCAGACTAAACTATTTACATTTTTGACCAGCAATTTCAGTAACCAGCATTACCGCTTATTTGGTCAATTCACTTTTACCCGAGTACCAAAAAGAAAAGAGGTACTTTTTTACTTACGTTTTTATAGTCTTGAAAGTTGGGTCATGATTATTTCCTTTCTTTCTCTGAATCTTTTAGTTGAAAAAGGTTATTCATAATTATTTTTTTCAAAAATAATTTTCTGTAATAGAATAAAATTAATAAGATTTTTAGAAACCCCTGAGACTCTGATCATGATCTGGTTTGGTGGATAAGTCAACTAAATTTTATAGGAAGCTGTAAGATACTTAGTTGCATGTAATTTCCTGTCTCTTCTTTCCTGCATCCTCAATATCCAGCTTAGGTTGTCTGTCCATTGCATTTTATCTTACTTAATCACTTATGTTTAATGTTAAAAATATATAGTTTCTGAATTGTATATTAGTTAGAAGAAATATGTGTGTATGGTTGAAATTTTAAAATTACATTTCTTGTCATTATAATCTTAAGATTCATAGGTCTCTTGTTAATGTTTTAAGTTATTTAGCTGACTTAATGCTTAAAATTAAATGTTTAATGAGTTAAATGGTAAGATATATATCCTCACATATATTTTATAAAAAGAAGCAGAGTTTTATTAGAAACTTTGTTAATTATTCTGACCTGTCTAGGACATTTTATATTGATCATTTTAGTCTTCTGTCTCCAGTATATCAAAGCCAATATTATCTTGGAATGTTAGTATTCATAGAAACAATGGTAGCATAATGAAAACAGCTAATGATTATTGAATGTTTATATCAGGCCAAGATCTTATGACATTTTATCTTCATAGCAAGTCTCTATGGTAAATAGTGTAACTTGTTTACAGATGATAGATCTAAAATATGGAGAGATTGAGCAATTAATTTGCTTTGAAGTTTATATAATTTTAACTGGTAGATGCTTTAAGCCCAGGCAGCCTAATCCCAGAATCTTGTTCTTAATCTCTGTACAAGTGATTATGAAGTTAGAAAACATAATAAAATTACTTTATTGTATAATGCAATATGTGTAATATACATACTAATAAATAATGTATTATATATTTGCCTATGTTTCTAGTCTTGGTGATCACCTTTTATATTGAGCACAACGTTTAAGATTTACTTTGATTTAAATCTCTCTTTTTTTCATTCTTACCTGAGGATATACTCATTGATTTTTAGAGAGAGAGAGAAACATTGATGTGAGAGAGAAACATTGATCAGTTGCCTTCCTGTTTGCTACTGGACTGGAGATTAAACTCCCAACCTAGGCATGTGCCCTGAATGGTAATCAAACTCGAAACCTTTCCATGTATGGGACAACGCTCCAACCAATTGAGCCTCCCAGCCAGGTCGATTAAATCTCTTTTGCTAATTTAATAACTCTATGAACTTGCTAGCCTAGCTGTTTGAGACATTAGAGAGACGTGGATCTGCAAAAGTTACTTCGAAGGCCCAGCACCCAGTGAGGGTGAATGATTGTAAGAAACTGAGACTTTGGAAGAACTTACTAAATTAAGTTTGATAATGGATCCAGCCTGTTGGACTTTTCTTATACTACATATTTCTATTTTTGAAGAGTTTGAAGATATAAGAAATATTATACAACTTTTTAATGACTTACTAAAAAATTGTAAGTTACAGGGTTTTCTTTTTAGCTGTCAGGGCAACTAAGTTTTTAAATTTAAAATCAACATTTAGCATCTTCAGTTAACAAAAATTGCACAGGATGTTGAAACATTAAGATTACAAGAATGCAGTGGGCTATGTGGTCTGTTACTCATGATAAACTATTGTGCTGTTTGATTAGAAGGAAATTGTTTATCCTATCTCTCCTTTTACTCCACAGACTGTGAAAGCACTAAACCACTTAAAAGAAAACTTGAAAATCATTCACAGAGGTGGGTATAGAATTATTTTTAAAAAAATACATTTTATTCATTTTTTACAGAGAGGAAGAGAGAGGGATAGAGAGTTAGAAACATGGATGAGAGAGATATATTGATCAGCTGTCTCCTGCACACCTCCTACCTAGGGATGTGCCTGCAGCCAAGGTACATGCCCTTGACCAGAATTGAACCCGGGATCTTTTAGTCCGCAGACTGACGCTCTATCCACTAAGACAAAACAGTTAGGGCTAGAATTATTTTCTAAAGTACACTCTTTTCTTATTAGGGAAAAAATACTGAAAATTCAGTGCTACTTTCAAGCAAAACCTACTATATGTACCTAAAACTTCATTATTAGGTTTTTTTTTTCTTTTGGTTGTCTTTAAATTTTAGTCTACCATACTAATATGTTGGACTTTGTAATTGAAGAAGATTTTGCTGTAAATTTATGTAACTCTTAGTTGAAAAATCATTATTCATTTGCTGATAGATAATTAGCGTTTCTCTTGTATACAACTAAGGCATGAAGGTGGTCCTATGGGTAGTCAAAGAGGAATCAGAGAGGAATTGCCCTTATGTGTTACAGGCACACTACTGTCCCTGTTCCGTGCTGCAATCAGAGATTCCTTTAATTGAAATTGCTATAAAGCATTTGTATTTATTTGTGAGAGTAATGATCTTGTCCTTATTAAACACACATTCAAATCTTTAAACATTTGATGTAGATCTCTTGGATGACAGTGGGAATCCTGACTTTAATTCTGACTAAATAGTTGCTCTGGTATCATGACAGACCTAAGACAATATGTGACAGTATGTGAAATTCATTCTGATAGTAAATAAGTAGGAAAGTCAAAGATCATATTCAGAGAAGTGCAGAACCTTGAATTCTAAGTATCATAGTTTCTAGTAGTTAGAGAAATTAGTAATTGGAACATCAAAATAATTTATTTTGCCTACCTGATATTATTTTTAACATAAAATAATGAATTTTTAATATTATTTTTAACAAAATAATGAATTTTCCTTCATTGTTTTATGTTAAAATAATATTAGGTATGCTTCTAATTTCTTTTTTGGCCTAAAATCATGTAGGATTAGGTCCCTAAACAAAATTATTTTGTTTCTTTCATAGTTCATCTTGTTCTTGTTTTGGGGTTTCCCCCTCCCTTTTTGCTGTGCTCTGCAATTATGAGAGTACTAGAGGCCTGTTGCACGAATTCATACACGGTTAGGGTCCCTTGGCCTGGCTGGCTATGGGGACTGATTGTGGCTGGCCGGCCTCGGGGAGGGACTGCGGGAGGTTGGCTGGCTGCAGGAGCACACTGACCACCACGGGGCAGATCCTATATTGAATGTCTGCCCCCTGGTGGTCAGTGCACGTCATAGCCACCTGATGGTCATAATGGTTGCTTAGGTTTTTATATAAAGATAGAGGCCTGATGCATGAAATTCATGCAAGAGTAGGACTTCCTTTCCCCCGCTTCTGGCACTGACTTCCTTCTGGTATCCGGGACCTGGGCTTCCCTCTGGCCACTGGCACCTGGGCTTCCCTCACAGCCCTGGCTTTGTCTGGAAGGTCATCCAGTCTAATTAACATATTATGCTTTTATTATTATAGATTGCCTTTATTTACCGTAGAACAATTCAGATATCTTAGAAATACTCAAGGTACCCCAGTAAAGCACTAAGGTGGTGTCTGAGGACGAGTAAGATAAAAGGGACAGTCTTCAGGAATAACTTTGGTTTTCCTATTAGTAAATAAAGTGATGAATTTAAAGCAGTCTTTTTATCACTTTAAATTAGTTAGCCTTTTTTTTTGCTACAGGTAGAGTGCTTTGATTACAAGTTACAAAAAATTTTGATAACTGGCTTAAACTCCAAGGAAATGCATTCTCTGTGGTAATAAAGTCCTGGCACAGTTTGGTTAGAGTTCAAGCTCTTTCTTTAGGCTGTGATCTCCTTAGTCTTTTGGCTCCATCCTCAGGGTAGTAACAACTAAAGTGGTCCCCAGTATCACATAGTCTTTGACACATATTGTACAGTAGCGTAGTATACTCATGGGTTAAATTTATTCTTTATAGCTTGACTGTTAAGTAATGAATTTGAAGCAAGTAAATGATTATGTTCCTTGATGAGAACAAAACAACATAATAGAATGCCTAAATCTATTGTATACTATATTTTTTTAATACTTTTATGGTGTGGGTTTTTTTGGTTTTTTTTTTAAATAAAATACAATGTGTCTTTTTTTATTGATTTTAGAAAGGAAGGAAGAGGGAGAGAGAGCTAAAAACATCCATAATGAGAGAGAATCATGAATTGGCTGCCTCCTGCAAGTCTCCCACAGGGGATTGAGCCCACAACCTGAGCATGTGCTCTTGATCGGAATCAAACCTGAGACCTTTCAGTTCGCAGGCCAACACTCTATCCACTGAGCCAAACTGGCAAGGGCTGTATAGTATTTTTTGGTACTAACTTTTTAAGCATCAGTCATCAGAGAAATCTCATATTTCTCATCTCATACATATGAATATTAAGGACTTGATCACTTATGTTATCTAAGCTTTTTCAGTATTTTTACTTAAATATATATACTTTAGGATGTAGCTCATTTGATTACTTCTACACTCAATGTACCCGTCTCTTTCAGATATCAAACCTTCCAATATCCTTCTGGACAGAAGTGGAAATATTAAACTCTGTGACTTTGGCATCAGCGGACAGCTCGTGGACTCCATTGCCAAGACCAGAGATGCTGGGTGTCGGCCGTACATGGCAGTAAGTGAGAGGCCCAGCCCTCTTAGAAACCCAACAGTCTTGCAGTGGGAGCCCGCCTTCGGTGCTGTACTTCTAAAGACTCTGCCATTGGTTGGTCATGCAGTTTCACCAGTCTAGAATCCTTTTCTCTTCCCTAACGATCAAATTCAGGTTCTAGCTGCTTCATGAATTGATGAAAAATTGTCCCAGTGAACACCTGTTTTATTGTCTTACTCTCTTCCTCTTTGTACTTAGACTCTACTTGTGGCTTCTCTGGCTCTACTAATCAACTAGATCATTAGTGCTCAGAAGGCCGCTTTGTATTTTAGCACTCCATATGTTACCTTGTCTGTAATAGATACCATTGTAGAGAGAATCATGGATTGGCTGCTTCCTGCAAGTCTCCCACTGGACATGTTGATAATGTGTCCTGGCCATTAAGTGATACTATTACTTAGAGAAGAATGAAAGACTCAAGTTCATGGTAGAACTCATTGTATCTTATAAATCTGAGGCTGTGTTTTGTATATTGTTGATCTCTTCAACAGTAGTGGACGAAGCACACTAACAAATGCAAGGAAGATGCCTTAGGTATTGGCTAATCTGGAGCCTCTTTCCCCTCAGGGAGACAGAGCTTCACAATCCTTCTGCACACGTCATCCTCATCTTTTTTTTTTTTTTTTTTAATTCTTTATTGTTAAAAAGTATTACATATGTCTCCCCCCACACATTGACCTCTCCTAGCATGCCCCGCCCCTGCCATCCTCATCTTGTCCCAGTGCTGCATACACTGCAGATTTACTGTCTGTGTTGTAAACATTCCCTTTGTGTGTGCGTGTCTTCCTTGCAGAGGCTATGGTTCTTCGGAGACAGGTTTTGCATCATTATTAAAGCAGGCTTCTCATCAGTAGTTTCTGTTTCAGTCTTTAGGACTTTAAACTGAAGATTAGCTTTGAGCTGAATACAGTTTTTTTCTCCTTTTAATTGTTAGTTTCCTTTTTTATTTTTACATTTCCAAACCCAGTGCTGTAAGCCAATGTTTCCCAAAGCTACGTCAGCTTTGAAATAAGCAGCTGATGATAAACTCTGCCTCTCATCTTGACTGGACTGAATGAAGCGTTTCTGTCCATTCCAGTCTTCTGAGGCGTGTATGAATGGACAAGCATATAATCAGCATTCATCCTACAAGCCTCTGAGTTACTTGACTTCACTTAATGTATCTTGACAGAAGATATCAGCAATGCATCTTGTCTAGTCTATAGGAATTGTGATTTCTTAGATTATATTTAATATAGAAAGTGTACAAAGTGTAGAGTTTAAACTTAAGTTTTCTCATAAACCAGTTGTTAACATCTTGTCACTTCCCTACCTGCTCATTTAGGGAAGCCTGTATTTATACATAAACATACTAGTAGACAGAGGTGGGCAAAAGGACGTTTACAGTTTTGAATGCATGAAATGCAGAGTTTATTCTTGTATTATTATTCATACTTGTATTACATATTTTCCATACGAACAACTGTTAACCTGTTTTTGCCTTCCTCTGTATATGTACATTTAGGGGTGTGTGTGTGTGTGTGTGTGTGTGTGTGTGTGTGTGTGTGTGTTCGTGTTCTGGACCATTTGAAAGAAAGTCGCAGATATGATGAATTTCATTCTATACACTTCAGCACATCCTCCCAAGAAAAGGGCATTCATCTGTGTAACCACAAGATCATTACCATACCTAAAACATAAACCAAAAGAGTTAACAAATTTCATAGTATCATCCAATATTCAGTTTATACTCAAAATTCCCAGTTGTCCAGAATAAATGTATGTTATAGCTGTTAATAAGGATCATATCAAGATATATAATACATTATTTTTAGTTGTTACATTTTGCATTTTAATTTAAACTGGTCTAGACCATTCTTTTTTGTGTGTGTGTGATTTGGACATTTCTGGGAGTGTTTTTAAAATGTCTCACATACTGGATTTGTCTGATTGTTCTCTAATGATTAGTTTCAGACTACATTTTTTTGGCATGGATGCTTCATAGATGAGGTGTACTTTATGTTGCATCACATTGCAAGAACATAATGCTAGGTTATTTCACTAATTGTTTTTTTTTCTTTTAAGCACTTGAAACATTTGTAAAATAGAAACTCATATCCTCAAAATTTTTCCTATTTTCCTTCCCCATAGGAGTAATTGATAATCTTCATTTTCTTTCTTTCTTTCTTTCCTTCTTTCTTTCTTTCTTTCTTTCTTTCTTTCTTTCTTTCTTTCTTTCTTTCTTTCTTTCTTTCTTTCTTTCTTTCTTTCTTTCTTTCTTTCTTTCTTTTCTTTCTTCCTTTCTTTCCTTCCTTTCTTTCTTTCTTTCTTTCTTTCTTTCTTTCTTTCTTTCTTTCTTTCTTTCTTTCTTTCTTTCTTTCTTCCTTTCTTCCTTTCTTCCTTTCTTCCTTTCTTCCTTTCTTCCTTTCTTTCCTTTCTTTCCTTTCTTTCCTTTCTTTCCTTTCTTTCCTTTCTTTCTTTCTTTCTTTCTTTCTTTCTTTCTTTCTTTCTTTCTTTCTTTCTTTCTTTCTTTCTTTCTTTCTTTCCTTTTTTTAAATACATTTTATTGATTTTTTAAGAGAGGAAGGGAGAGGAATAGAGAGTTAGAAACATTGATGAGAGAGAAACATTGATCAGTTGCCTCCTTCACACTCTGTACTGGGGATGTGCCTGCAATCAGGTTATATGCCCTTGACTGGAATTGAACCTGGGATCCTTGAGTCCACAGGCCTTTGCTCTATCCACTGAGCCAAACCAGTTTTAGCGATAATATTCATTTTCAAAGGATTCCTTCTCCCAGGATCCTCTCACCCTTCCCTCTGGTATCCTCCAACTTGAAGAGGCTTCTAAAAAGTAACTTCAGTTTCTCTGTCTTTACCTCTTCTTCTTACATTATAGAAACCTATCCTTATTAGTTTGTAAGGTAGTCTTAATCAGTAATAGAAATAACACATTCTATAGCAGTACTTTATGAAATATGTCCACCTATTTACCTGGGTCATTTCTCAAACCCTGACATAATCTTCTTTTAAAATATGTGCAAGCCTATCAGGCCTGAAAATCTAGTTAAGTTATTATATCAAATCAATAGAAATTGTTGATGTGTGTACTTCCTTTGATCTTTGTTCAACAAATTTAAAAGCATTCGTTCATATTCAGCTTTCTCTTTTCCTTTGATTTCAAAAGAACTTAATTTTTTTAGAGTATAATTTTAATTTTCCACTTGTATACGGGCGGAAAAAATGGTATTCACTTTAACAATTTAGATTTTTAAAATGTCTGATAAAGAAATTATTTAGCTGCCAGCCAGTGTGGCTCAGTGGATTGAGCATGATCCCATGCACCAAGAGGTTACCAGTTTAACCTCTAACCACTGGGCAGTGCCAGCCAGGACTCAGCAAGTGTTTTGACAGATATCTTTCGGGGTACTGGATTGGGGGGGAGGGGTGCAGACCACATACCATGTGATTCCATTCATATGCAAGGACAGAATAGGGAAGCCTGAAGCTACAAGAAGTAGATTAGTGGTTATTTAGACTTAGGGGATGGTGTTGGGGGGATGCTGTCCGAAGGGTATTGGGTGAGGAAATACTTTAAAATAGATTCTGGTCATGGATACAAATATATGTCACTGTATAAAGCTATTGCCTTGCATACTTTGTGTGTGATTGTATGATATGTGGATTACATTTCAGTAAAGTTGTTTAAAAACCACTGAAGGCCACCATTCTCCGAGTTATAATGAGACTACTGGAGGTGTAAAGATACAATCCTGAGAATTTTGACTTCACAGAAGTCAAATTTAGTAAGTGACTATTGCTAAAAGTGCTGTCACCTTTGGAAATGTAGGTTTGCACTTGAGTAACCAGTACTTTTTCTTTAGCAGTTTGAATTGCTTATTTTTGAATGTTAGAAAACAATTGCCCCACATAATTTTGGGTATAAATTTATGATTTCTTTTTTTTAAATATTTTAAAAATATATTCTTATTGATTTCAGAGAGACAAGGAGAGGGAGAGAGAGAAACATCAGTGATGAGAGAATCATTGCTTGGCTGTCTCCTGCACGCCCCTCTACTGGAGATCAAGCCCAAAACCCAGGCATGTACCCTTGACCAGAATTGAATTTGGACTCTTCAGTCTGCAGGCCGACACTCTATCCATTGAGGCAAATCAACTAGAGCTTGCCTTTTTTCCTTATATTTGGCCATTTTAATGCATTATCCTTTGTCCATTTTCATTAGAATGTTAATCTTTTGTATTGATATAAAATATAAGAATTATGTTACACTACAGGCCCGGTGCACGACATTCAGCCTGGCCTGCGCCCACTTGCAGTCCAGACCCTCGGGGGCCTAAGCCGGCTGTCAGACATTCCTCTCACAGTCTGGGACCCCTTGCTCCTTACTGCTCACCTGCTTGCTGCTCCTTACCGCTCAGCTCGCTGTTCCTTAGTGCTGCTGCGGAGGCGGGAGAAGCTGTGCTTGCCAGCTTTCTGGCTGAGCTGCGCTTCCCCTGTGGGAGCGCACTGACCACCAGGAGGTAGCTTCTGTGTTGAGTGTCTGCCCCTGGTGGTCAGTGTGCATCATAGGGACCAGTCATTCAGTTGATTTGCATACCAACCTTTTATTATATAGGATAGTTTTCTCAAAAATTGTCATTTGTCTTTAAATTTTACATATTTTTGGCTCAATTACAGATATAGAAAATTTTAATGTGATGAGCTTATCAGTTGCTAACTTTGAGGTTTCTAGCTCTTGTCATATCTTGAAAGATTTTTGTCATGCCAAGATTGGAAATATCTTTTGGGGTTATTGGGCAAAAACCATTTGTATCCCTAATGTACAAATTTCTGCAAGTTATCATGTAACTTAAGTGTCTGTCCTCATGAATAATAAGTAGCTTACAATGAAAATTTATGCAGCTACAGTGCTCATGCTCAAAACAAAATATGTAGGTGTCCAAACTAGTTGTTGCCAACAGTAATAGAATTATAATATGGCCAGCTGGTATGCTTTCTGGGCATGCCTTTCAACAGCAGTCACTCAGTCACAGTCATGATCCATGGTCTGCTCTGCCATCAATGTGCGCTCTGTCTCTGTCTCTCGTCTTTTTATCCCTGACACATTGTGTAGATAATTGTGTAGACAAATTTCACAGAAGTTACTAAAAATGATGTTAGCTATTTAAATGATAGGGTGATATATTACTATATTGACTGTTTATTTGGTTAAAATGACTATTAGAAATAATGATAAATTTAGCTTTATGATGAAGAATGGGTAAATAATTATAATTTGGCTCATATTTGCTTTTGTATCTCAAATATTTTGCAGTAGGGCCTTATTCATGGAAACAGACTTAGTCTTTTTTCCCCTCTTTGCCACTACTTGCTACTAATCTGACCCTGCAATTCTTTATTTATTTTTTTTTTATTTTTATTTTTTTTTACATTTTTCTAGTTTTCTTCCTAGATATATCTCCCTTTGGCCATTCTCAGCTTCAGGGTTGTAAGTGCTTGTGAGTACTTAGGGGGAAAATTAGAAGAGTTGCTTTGTATTCCCTTTTAGGGAGGAAGCTATTGAGGTTTTCTTTTTTCTTTTTTCTTTTTTGCTGTTAATTGTTTTTAATGTTGGCTTTCTACTACTTTTTCTTTTTATTGTTGTTGTTAATCCTCACCTGAGGATATTTTTCCATTGAGTTTTAGGGAGAATGGAAGAGGGAGGGAAAGAGAGAGGGAAATATTGATGTGAGAGAAACACATCGATTGGTTGCCTCCTGCATGAGCCTGACCAGGGCCAGGGACAGGAAGGAACCTGCAACCAAGGTACGTTGCACTTGACTGGAATCTAACCCAGGCCCCTTTGGTCAGCAGACCAATGTTCTATCCACTGAACCAAACCGGTTAGAGCCTTGATGCTTAATCTGACCCCAGACATGAGTTCCTATAAGGATTATGCTGGCATCTGGGCCACCTGCCCAGTTGTTGCTTTCCTTTCCCTGCTTCTTAATCGTGTGACTAATTACTGACTGTGACTTCTCTTTGTGTTCTAGCCGGAAAGAATAGACCCAAGTGCATCACGACAAGGCTATGATGTCCGCTCTGATGTCTGGAGTTTGGGGATCACATTGGTATGTTGATGTCCACCCAGCCTTGTCCTCTTAGTGTACCAAGAAATTTAGAAGTGAAAGTAAATTTCATCTGTCTTCCACTCCTCCTAAGAACTGCTTCTTGTCTCTTCTAGTCTTTGGTTTTATTTACCTATTTTTTTCCCCTCATGGCTATGATCCCAGGGACTGTATGTTTTATACTTTAAAAATCAAACCATAATTGATTATTTTCCTCAAAGTTCTCTGAGGTGCCTAGGGCTCTGTAATGTTGTAGCTATGGATGTCCTGGTCACACACATGCACTGAGAACGGAACGGGGAGGGGCAGTTCATGTGCAGTCAGAGTCCCAGGAAGGCACAGGTTCCTCCTGTTCAGCCTGAGTAGTCCAGTAACACTGTGCAGAGTGTGTGTTAGAGGAATATGTTCATGTGTATTGTTTCCACTGGAGTCTTCCAGTCATGGAATAGAAAAGTCACAGAGAAACTAAAAGTAATTCAGTTGTTGAGAAACAAGAACTGCTTAGGTGACAGTTCTAAATGAGAGTTCTACCTTACAACAATACAGAAAGAATAGCAAGAAAGCTGCTTAATTTGCAACTAAGCACAATTAAATAAACTCTTCTTTCTTGACTGTGTTGAAATTTTGATTCTATTTTAAAAGCATCTTTATTTGCTTATTTCCTTTACTAGAGGCCTGGTATACAAATTTGTGCACATTGAAAGGAATTAATTGGAAGCAATATTTTAGAGGCCAGGGAAGGACCATGGTAGGTTGGCTCCAGGGTGTGTCTGGCCCATTTAGCCCAGTCCCAATCGGCTGAACCCCAGCAGCAAACTAACCTACCAGTCAGTGCGTCTGCCCCCTGGTGGTCAGTGCACCTCATAGTGACTGGTAGAGCAGTCAACTAAATGGTCAACCAATTGGTTGGACACTTAGCATATTGGGCTTTTATATATATAGATACCAAATTTTGTTTTGAAATATTAGATTCATTTTCTTGTGCTTGTTATTTTACCAGGCTTGATAGCATTTTTCTGATTTTTGAGAGCTTTGCCTACATAGGTGTGAATCTTCCGTCACTAGATGGGCTGTGTTGTCCTTGTAGTTTTCTTTGTAGTTATCCTTGTATTATAGTTGTCCTTGTTAGTTACTCTTTAGTTATCCTTGGTGAGTTATGTTGCCAGCCTGGTGAAGTCTCTTGAGTAGAGGGTTGAGGCTAACAGCTCACCTCTGCTAAAGTCTCCTAGTTTCTCTTGTGACTAGGTCGGGGAGGCACCTCCTGAGTCTTTTCCCATTGTGAAGCCAACTGAGCAAAGGAGAAGGAATCCTCTTTTCAGTCAGGAGAGAGCATGGAACCTGGGTATCTTTTAGTTGTGGTGGCTGGTGCCAAAGACTGCAACAAGATTCTAACCTCTAGTGAGGCAACTGCTGGCTTAGAAGGGTTACTAATGATTCAGAAATACCTATCTGTGTCCAAACCAGTTATGTTAAAAAACAAATATTTACCTCATTATAAAAGCAAATATTTTGTTTTGTGAAAGGTTCTAACATAGAAAATTTTTAAAGCAAGTTTCTGTAGTACTATATCTTTGTTTAAAGCAAGGTACTTATAATTTCTTCATGTTTTTTTTAATATGGATAATTTCATATAATTATAAAATGTGTGAAATTGATTTCTAGGGTCCTAGATCTACCTTATTCTTTTTCTTAAGCATCATTATTGGGCTTCAAGGTGAAGGCTTTGACCCTGACTTTTTCTTCATTGATGGTGACATCTGCTTGTGGTTGGAATTGTAGTAACTGCATAATGGCAGTTGACATACTCAATGTTTCCTGGGAGCTCGTTGGATGTTTTGTATGTTGAATGTTATTTTACCTTAAAAATGAATTTGACCACAGTTCTAGACATGGCTTTCCACTCAGGTGACTATAAATTGGGAAGACATTGTACTAAAATAGTTCTAAAGCCAGCCCTGCAGAATTCTGTATACAAAGGAGTCAGACCTGAAGTATGCACTGTGGGACTTTGGGCTTAAGTTCAGTGTTTCCTTTAGTCCAATTTCTTGAATTTGGTTGATACAGAATTCTTTATATTATCTTGATTCTAATATCACTTCCACTTAGCTTCAATACTTCCGAAGATTCCACCTTAACCCGACATGGATTTAATGCCAACCTTTTATAAGGGCTTAGAGTTTAGATGTTCAACATGGCCATTTCAGTGAGGAGCAAACATTGCCTTAGTGCAGTGGTCTGGTCGGCAAACTCATTAGTTAACAGAGCCAAATAGCAACAGTACAATGATTGAAATTTCTTTTGAGAGCTGAAAGCCGACTTCTGTGTGTGGGCCACGAAGTTTCAGTTGCACTGTACGTGTGCACCCGCACATGGTATTTTGTGGAAGAGCCACACTCAAGGGGCCAAAGAGCCACAAGTGGCTTGCAAGCCGCAGTGCCTTAGTGTATTTTGCTTTTTCCTCTGTGATCTTTCAGTACGAGTTGGCCACAGGCCGATTTCCTTATCCAAAGTGGAATAGTGTATTTGATCAACTAACGCAAGTCGTGAAAGGAGACCCCCCGCAGCTGAGTAATTCGGAGGAAAGGGAATTCTCCCCGAGTTTCATCAACTTTGTCAACTTGTGGTGAGTACTGGAATTACGAATGTTCACAAATGCACAGTGAGAACAGTGAGGTTTGTTTAACCTTAGCAACACTGGTATGAACAGTGAGGTTTATTGAACCTTAACAACGCTGGTACGTCACACTGGGGAAGGGGAGCCTTCTCTTGTCACTGTCTCCTGAGCTGGGACTCCGGATCATTGCGGCTACAGGGGCGGTTCCAGCTAGCCTGGAGGGCCCTGCTCTCTTATTCTACTGCCCAGGCATGGATGAGAACAGCTGGGGGTGGTGGAGAAGCACTGCCTCCTGGTTTCTAGCTCTCTGTACAAGAAATACAGCCCAGGTGAGACTGGCCCTCTCATTCTGATGCGGTTTTAATTGTGAAATTGTACCAAATTACTTGGAAGCTTTTACCAAGTGAAGATCCTACCAGGTCAGGCTTTCAGGGTAGATCTCTGCTCTGACATAACATATAACATGATTGGGGTGTGGAGTCAAGTTAGGCCTAACGTTCCATTGGTAGAACTGTAGATTAGCTCTCTGAAACCTTATTCCCAGGAAGGTGAACTCCACACCTAATGTTTGGCCACCTTTTAACATTATGCACGTATGCTTGTGTGCCTGGGTGTGCAGCTCCTGGGAATAAACGTAGGCAATTATGGTGATATATAATCTTGCTTCATGCTGTTTCAATCTGTATTTTAAATACAACAAGTTTTGTTATTATTTGACTATTTTTAATAATTATTTATCCAACATAATTTAAAAATTTATATTTACAAGCAAAATGCCAGAGTGTTTAATATATCTTCTTTACATTCCTAAAAGTGCTTTGTTTTTCTTTTGCTCGTAGATTGCCTAATTTTTCCTGTTCTCTGATATTGGCATGTTGTCTCCTATTCACCTTAGCATCTGAAGGAAAAAAAACTACTCAACTCTTTATAATATTTCTTTTGTGAAATAATACTTGGGGTAAATGTGTCTTCATATTAATAATGTTTGTTTTGTTATTTTAGCCTTACAAAGGACGAATCCAAAAGGCCAAAGTATAAAGAACTTCTGGTGAGTATGAGACCTTGGTAATACCAGCTGTCACTTCAGCCATGGTCTGTTCAGCGCACTGGCTCACTGAGCAGGCAGTGGCCTTTCATAGGCAGACAGACAGCTCTACCTCACTGGGCTTTTGTAAAAGATTCTGAAACAAAAGTGTTTGGAAAGAGAAAATTTGAAGTTACAGCTTTCCTACTGATTTACTAGGTATGTTCTCATGGAAAATTTTGATCTTGACATATTATAAAAATTAACCTGGAAAATTTATAAAAAATATATGTTTTGTTGATTTTTAGAGAGAGAGGAAGGGAGAGGGATAGAGAGATAAAAACATTGATGAGAGAGAAAATCACTGATAGGCTGCCTCCTGCACACCTCTTACTGGGGATTGATCCTGCAACCTAGGCATGTGCTCTGACCAGGAATTGAACTGGTGACCTGTTGGTTCATAAGCTAATGCTCAATCACCGAGTAACTGGAGAATTTTAAGATTCACTTTAAGGAGCCATTTTATTTTACCATGTGGTTTATGTATGTGTAACACATCTGTAAGAGTTTATTGTGCTTTCTCTGCCTTTATAAAATGTTCTCATGGAAATAAATCTAGATTCATACAGCCAATTCCCCTTTCTTTTAAAAGTTCTCTCCCCCCTCCCCCACCCCCCATGGGACCTAGGCCTTTTAAATAGTCTCCTGGTAGTGGCATTGGTCTTAGTGGTGAACAAAGTACTGTGATCTGATAATGTGGGAATGTTTTAAGGAAAAAAAAAAAATACACCTATTTGTCACACTTAGGTTCTATCAGACTTATGGTCAGACTTATGATCAACCCCAGGTGTGACTATAGATACCCAGTCAAGCCTGGTTGGTGTGGCTCCGTGGTGGAGTGTTGACCTATGGACCGGGAGGTCACTAATTCAATTCCCGATCAGGACTCATGCTCAGGATACGGGCTCGATCCCCCCAAGGAGGCATCCAGTCATTGATTCTCTCCCATCATGGATGTTTCTATCTCTTTCTCACTCTGTCCTCTCTGAAATCAATAAAAATATATATGAAAATAGCTCTCCAGTCATTGTGCTTAGAGAAGCTATTAAAGAAAAATACTGCTGGAACTGGAGTATGAAAATATGGGTTTGTGAGGCAGATGTGGGCTCCAGGCTGTGGAGAGTGAGGTGCAGAAGTTCATAGGGTAAGTTTCTGTTGAGTTCCTTTGGAGCAGGGTGAGAAGGATTGAAACAGATCTTTTTGTTCAGGATTCATTTTGCGCCTGGGGGAATGGGCACTTGAGTTGGTGTCTTTATGAGACTAGCACCTGGTGGTCATGGAGTTCTTGGTTCTCAGATGCTTTATGCAGAGGAACAGCAGTGCTGTCTGCCTTAGCAAATGCTCCCTGGCCCCAGATTAGTACCCAGACCTCACCTTCAGGCCAGCTCCAGATTCCAGCCTGACCATCTCCCTGCAGGCCACACCGACTGACACGCCTCCTGGGTTTGCAGGCCGTGCTCGCAGCGCTGAGCTGGTGCTAGTGGTTGAGCCTTTAGTTCTGTGCTGTACCAAAATTGGGAAAAGCCCAACGTGAGCTCTTATATAAATTTTTATTTGTTTTTTTCTTCAATTTTCTTGCAGAAACATCCCTTTATTTTAATGTATGAAGAACGTACTGTAGAGGTCGCAAGCTATGTTTGTAAAATCCTGGATCAAATGCCAGCATCTCCCAGCTCTCCCATGTATGTCGATTGATGCCGCTGCTATGTCAGACTCTAGAAAAAAGGGCTGAGAGGAAGCAAGACGTAAAGAATTTTCACCCGTATCACAGTGTTCTTATTGCTCGCCCAGACACCACGTGCAATATGATTGGTGTTTGTTCCATCATGTCTGTATATCCCGTCACCTAGGACGTGCATCCCCGAAGTATCCGACTGATGACAGTGTTCGTGCTGGTCAGACCTCACCTGCTCTTTCCTGATGACATACTCATGAACGTGGAAGTCAGTACGATCAATTTGTTGACTGTGATTAGATCACATCTTTAATTCATTTCTAGACTCAAAACCTGGAGACGCAGCTACTGGAGTGGTATTTGTCAGACTTCCGGTCCTGGAAGAACGCAGTGAAGGATATTCTGTGTCTGAACGTAGAGACTCGGCGTGAGTGAGAAGAGCTTGCCCAGCCAGCAAGACGCATTGCCTTCTGGAGCCGGGAGACAGGAGGGTTTCCGTTCTTCACCAAGTGCAATAGACTTTCTGAGCTGAGGTCCCATTGCTCTAGGGTCACAGTCGATGTTAGGGGATCGATGTGCTCGGCCAAATTCCCGTTTGAAATGTCATTTTAAATTAGAATGGACTTATCTTTACCAAAAACCATGTTGCATTCAAAGAGGCGAACAGTAAAACAACAAGACAGGACAGAATGTGTTTTTTTCTCCTTGACCAGTCCTTCTCTTTATTGGGAGACCGGGAGTCTGCCCCTTGTCAAAGAAGGTGCTGATCCTAAGAATTGTCACTCAGCATTTGGTATGCTGCCAACCTGAGGTTCCACCTGCCACCATCCACCAGGACTGAAAAGAAAAAAGTACGGAGGGCAATGTTTACAGTTGTTTCCAATGCTAGCATCTTATCTGGAACAGCTCTTAGCAGCTCTGTCTTTCCCCCCTTTCCCGAGCCTGATACTGTAGCCATCGTAACTCACTACCAGGGAGAAGTAGCGAGGAGCAATGTGCCTTGATTGATTAGATAGATAGAGATTTCTCGTAGGCAGCAAAAGACCAAATCCCAGCTGTTTGCCGTCACTGGTCCAGATCTTCGGTTTCTGAGCCTCTTTCCCTGCCCCTGTAGTCTCTTGCCACTTTGTGTCTTTTGCTTAATCCAGTACTTTGCCCCCCCCCCCAACCCCCTATTAAAAACCTTTATAATTACCAGGGATGTTCCTTACCGAGGATTTCTAGCCCCAAATCTCTCAGATGCACCAATGTTTAAAAGGCTGAACACCATGGGGCTCAGTAACGTGGTAGGTGAAGAGGCAGCATCTTTCTAGCAACACGAGTGACCCAGGGAGGACCTGAAACGGCAGTCTTGGGTGAGCTCAGCACCTGTGAGAACCCTAACAGGTCATCATTTCTTGGAATTGGGATTCTACAATCACTATTCTAGGGCTGTAGGGTTGTGGGATTCTACAAGAACAGCCCACAACCCTACAGCCTTAGAATAGTGATAAGCCCATTTAAACTGCTCTCTGCTGTGCTTCCTCACTCCCCCACCAGCCAGGTTCCCTTCGGGTTTGCTCTGGCCTCCCTGGCACCCAGCATTCGGCTCTGCGAGCAGCACTGTGAGCGGTCCCAGCCAGGTGAGGCGGTTCCAGAACCCCCGGGGCAGATACTGCTGTGTCTCCCAGAGTGACAGTCATCAACACTATACAACAATAAAGGGAGAATGGTGCTGTTTTAAAGTCACTTCCCTGTCAGTTTCAGAATTTAAAAATGATTTATCGCTTTGGTCCACTTGCCTAATTTTCCCATTTCTCCCCTATGGCATCATAAACCTTAGACTTCCCAGTGTTCTGGAAGGAAGCGTTGTTAGGTGTCTTCCTTCAGCCACACCAAGCCATCATTCTCCGAATCTCCCGGGGACTCAACTTCCCTTCTGCTGTCAACTTCCCGTCGGGCTCGGCGCAGGGTCACTTTGCCATTCTACAGTGGAGATCAAAGCAGTGCTGACTGTCCAGGAGCTAAGCTGATCTGACCGTTCTGTTGTGTGGGTGACCACATCAAAGCAATTTTAGTGTATTAATCATAAATTACTATAAACTATAAACTTAAGGGCAAGTTTATTACAATGTATCTTTATTAAAACAAAAGGGTGTATAGTGTTCACAGACTGTGAAAATAGTGTAAGAACTGTACATTGTGAGCTCTGGTTATTTTTCTCTTGTATCATAGAAAAATGTATAAAAATTATCAAAAAGCTAATGTGCAGGGATATTGCCTTATTTGTCTGTAAAAATGGAGCTCAGTAACATAACTGCTTCTTGGAGCTTTGGAATATTTTATCCTGTATTCTTGTTTGAAATCCTCCTCTATTTAAGATATATACATGGAATCGAAGTGTTTATGTAATAGTTCTATCCTTTTGCCTGCAGGTCAGTTGTAATAAATCTAGGATGTGATGATGACTTTGTAATTTGATTTTCTGAAACCAGACCCTGAGAGGGGAAGATTAAGTAAATTCCATTAAATTATCTGTGAGTTTCACCTCGGGAGAGAGACTCTTCTGGACGTGTTTATGGCTTTTCTTTCTGCTTCTCCTGCCATTGCTGTATGGCTTTGCCTTCTCTTTGAGCAGATGGGACACCAAGTCCCCTGAGTGTATTCTCTGCTGGCTGCCCTGCCCTGTGTTATGACTGCTGGAGGGAGAGGGTGCAGTTCCCTCTGGGACGGGTGGAGTCTAGTCTGCTGGGCTTGGGGCTTGGTCACCAGCCACACTCTCTGCTCCTGGTTCTGTGGCTGCTGGTGAGTGTCCATGTCAGTTCAGTGCAGTCACTTATGGCTCCCTGGGTGAGAGGAGGGGAAGGGAAGGGATTTGTGCCTCTCAGAGCTGAGGTTTATGAATGGGAGGATTTGATGTGAGCAAAAGCCTCGGGACCCTGAAACTATTGGAGAGGACACTGAAGCCCGGGCACTGAATGTGTCTGCGATCCGACCACCTCTCAGTCAGTGGGCACACTCTGACTCCTGCCCATATGTTAACTTGGCACCTTGCCATTCTGCGCCCGCTTCTGATCGGACCTGAGGGGCAGGAGGGACCCCTACAGGACCAGGTGTGGTAAGGAGCAGGCACTATCGAGGGAAGGGTGTGGCTGTAGGAATCCTGACCTCCCCTTGAGCCTTAGCTTCCCCCAGAGAGGTACCCCATGGAGCTTCCAGATCCTGCTGAGCTCTGACCTGGTGCCACGGGAGCTCCGTGCTGTGTGGATAGTGCAGTATTCATCTATCTCATTTGATTCTGACTGTAGCCTTCAGTCAGGTTGTAATGTCCCCTTGGGCTAATTAAGAAACAGACCCGCAAAGCAAGGCTGAGGGAAGGGAAGTGCTGACCCTGACAGCTGTGGAGAGGAGAGCAAGAGGCAAGCCCAGGCTGTGGCACAGGTTTCTCATGGAGTTAGAGATGAGACGTTGCACTGATTTAAAGCACCTGACAGCAGAGAGGTGTGGGGTTGAGAAGAGTGAACTGTAGTTGGGGGAACCTGAGTTCATAGCCCTAACCAAGGCCTGGTTGTTATTTTGGAGGTGAGTTTAAACCCAAGGTCCCGGAAGCTCAGTGGCCAACACAAAGGGTAGAAGGTGGTTACCTTAGAACCAACCAGAGTACCTCTAGTTCCTAATGCCTAAGTGGGATGCCTGAGCATCAGTGCAGAGGCCGCTGTGTCCTGTTAGCATGATGGCGTTAGGTTTCAATCACTGAGAAGGAGGGCGGTGGGAAGGAAATCTGAGGTGGCTCTTTAGTTAGTATTCAGGTTCTCTCTGCTCACTGGCTCCTCACACCACCTGTCTCAGCTGCAGGAGGGTCAGGTGCCCCCAGTCTATGTACCGGGTCCTGGCTGCCCTCCTCCCAGGCCTGATGTGGGCCCAAGTCCCAGGCCCTGGCTGCCCTGCCTCAGGTCCAAGGTGGGCCCATCTCCCGCTCTGGCCCGGGCTGTGCATCAGTCACATCAGCACCTGTGCTTCGTCCTCGGAATGTGAAGATTGACAACCTAAAAACTGTTGATTTTGAACTTATTGGTTTCCTTTCATTAAGTGGTTTGAGGGGAAACTGGATGAGTGACTCCGGGTACACCATGGGAGCCATGGGGAGTGGACAGTTGGTATTGGACCACAAGGTGGTATTGGACCACCTTTAGAATGCGATGAACCAGCTTCTATATACCTTCTGGGAGTTTGCTACAGACAAAAGCAATATATTTCCTGGTCTTCCTCATCTTTCAGATAAATGAACATGCAGGAATTCTCATCTCAAACCTCGGAATCCAGGGTTAGTAGTTCAATATCTACAGTAACGTTTTTTCGTCGTTTTTCTGATACTATGCCAAAGTATATTTATACTTAAGTGTAAAATGTGATTCTGCTGTTTGAAATTGTCAATCCCTGTAGCAGAGTATAAAGTCACAACTGAGTAATCCTAATGCATAATGAATCAAATTTTTATCTGCATTTGAAGTTTCCATCTGCATATGTGTTTGCCTGAAGAACTGCGAAACAGAACTACTTGTTTACAACACTTGGGAACACAGCTTTGTGAGGCCGACAGGTGATTGCCTCAGTCCTACACCCAGGCACCCTCGTCACTAATTGGGTAACTTGCTTACGGGAGAACATGGCTAGAGGCAAGCATCGCCACGCACCAGGTCTCCCGCTGCTTTCTGAGATCTTTTTCACGAGACCATTGGACAGTTACCTGGATTGCAAGCATTTATTATAAAAATGCTAGATTTTCTTTTCCAAGCAAATGCTTGCTACATATGATTCCTGCCTGTTTCATGGGCTCTACACTTAATCCACAACACAAGATATTTCATAGTTTTCTTTCTTTTTTTTTTTTCCTTTTTTTTGCAAAACTGGACCCCAGTCCACTTATGCCTGTTTTTAGAAAGTAAATCTGTTTTCAAAAGGATGAAGAATTGCTTCAACGGAGGGGCAGAGACAGTGTAAGAACTCTTTAGAAAGGGCTTTGAAACTTGCCTTCTCCTAA